ACTGAATGAACCCTTATAGAAATCCGAAACAAGCCAACTGCAGAATATTTATGCAACATCAACTTCATAATCCTCTTCTTCAGTAAGCTTCTGATTTTCGCAGTCTTTACTTTCAAACTTCAAAAGCCTTTTAGTCCCAACTTTCTTATAAGTGAAGCCAAGTGCTCGCAAAAACACGTGAAAACTTGGTTCAGGAATTGGAAAATCTGCAAATGCAAAACAAATCTTATTGTGCAACTGCGCTGCAGTCACATCCTCTTGATGTTCTATCTCATTAAGGACGAATTGACGCACAACCGTACCCCACTCCTGGCCATGTCGCTGTAGAATTCCGTCATGTATCGAATTTCTTCTTCTAGGATTTTCCTTCTTTATATCCTTTGTATCAAGCGACCAATCATTACTTCGTGTAACTCTGATCACTGTTCTCACTGAGACACCACATGCTAACACCGTCATCATTGCAGTTTGATCCAATAGCGTTCCTTTGCAGACGCCTCTTAGTTCCTGTTTGAGTCCATCGAAGAACCGTCTCACATTTCTTACGATGAGTTCCGTTTCTTTTCCTAGATGTGAATAGCACCCTTTTCCAGATGATTTGTTCAGAGGAGCACGTGGCTTTTCAATCGGTGCTTTGAGTCTCTCAGCAGTAAGGCCTCTGATGCCGTCGCAAAGCCGACACTTGTGCATCTGCAAACAAGGATTGTATGAAAAGACCTCGGAAAAGAATAGAAGAAAAAGTATAGAATGTATGATGCCGGAAGTACTAAGTTGGACAAAAAAGTGAGCTTCACGCTTCTACAAATTTTTGGAAAATTGACTGCCACTGCTCATAATCTACAGAAACCCGAAAACTCCCTTACAGTTCGTCTGGACGAATTCAAAAGCGACTACTTCCTACTCATAGTCGACTCCCCCAATAGGACAATGTCGCAACTGCGCATATTGCGACAGCGCAGCTGCTTACGCTAACCGTATCGCGTAGGTGCCTTCATACTTCATAAACGCGCCGCATGGCGCAGGAGAGGTGCCTAGCAGAATTCTCGAATTGTCCATATTTGAGTGCGGTGCCGCAACGTAACCGCGCCGCATCCTCCTCAGCGATCTCTAGTTTGCCTTCTTGCCTCATGAGGCTAGGCCGTTTCACATCTGCTGTTCCTTATAACGCTAAAAATCGCAATAAGGAACGGCAGATCGAAAGCGTGCGCGGTTGCATTGCAGCGTCGCAGTCAAACATCTATTTTAGCCACAATTTGGCTACAAACCTCTCCAACGCACTCGTTATGTGTCGCTGCAAACTTCTAGGAAACTTGAATAATCCAGAGTAAGAAAAAGCGGTTAAAGTTAAGGGGAAAAAGACGCAGAGTTGAGATAGAGCCGAATTACATATTTTGATTTCAAGGGTCGGCTAATCGTTCGAACCCTACCAGAACCTTAATTTTCAATTTTGACTCAGCTCTTGTTCAAAGTTAACGTTCAGCACATTATGGTAAAAATTCGCTTTGTTACACAACATAAGGAAGTTTGACTACCTAACTTTGGCGGCTTTGTTCTGCAAAATTTTCTTAGTTTTCTTAACTGTACTTGTAAAGCGTATCATATATTTACAAAAAACAAGATTAATAGAATTAGTAGAACACAGTAGCAATCGTATTGTTATATATAAAATCCCAAAGACAAAGACCAGTCTTATATGATGTAATGTACAAACCTTTATCTTGACGTTTTTCTCACTTGGAGGTAGGAGCAGGTCGCCGGCATTGAACTAAATGATGTTGATGAGGTAAA